AAAAAAGAACAGGCGCTAAGTGACAGTGCGTCTCCTGTAAATGAATTACGATACGATAATGGTGTGGAACGTTTTATGAAGTCATCCTGACCAGGTGAATGGTATGCGAGTAAGGGAAATATGGAATAGACGAAATTTACAGGCTTTTGCGGAAATTTGTAAGCTTGGGAATCCGGCGTGCACACACTGTATATTAAGTCTATATGTGGAGGATGTCGTCCCGTGGTTTATCGTAAATTTTATACATAGAGTGCACTGAATCAAAACTCTGACGTCTGTCACTTCAGAATAGTCCATAGATATTCCATACTGTCGGTTAAGTCAATCTATCCTGAAAAGCCGAGAAGCACTGTACAGCAGTTTCATCGGCAGGGAACGTCTCACGAAACTCCAGGCAGTTTCGAACCCATGACTTTCCAACCAGTCATGGAACACTTAGTCGTTTGGTGAGCGGTGTGATTCGCTCTCACTCAAACAGCAGAAAGCGTCAATCAACGTTCAATAACGAAATCTCCATCACGTGGTCACGTGCTGTCTGGCACCCCGAGTGACGACTCGTCAGAAGGAAGATTCACACATACAGTTAAACTATGTTTTCTCTAAGTTCCCTATTGGATCAAGGTAGTGTGGGGAGATTTATTTTTTCAGAATAAATGTTAAATTTGCCCGCCGTTTGCGCATGTATTCGACAAATCTGAAGCTGACTAGTTTACACCATAGGAGACTAGCAATATTTATAGAGGATTGATTCTCTCTAAAGCTACTCAACAATGTATATTCATGAGCGTGGTGGAATTCGAAAAGTGGGCATAACTAATTTAGAAGACGTCCCACAACTTACTTGGCGCACTGTGTATGCGAATGATGCGAATGTCGGTGACTTATTCCACCTCTTTTTAGTATGAATCGATTCGCAAGATGTTTCGCAAACATTGAATTTCAATTACAATCCGTCGACGATCCATTTCTTTTCGTAAAAGTGCAATTCTTTCTCTGTATCTACTTGAAAACCATTGTAGCTTCATCAACTAGAAAACAGATGTGTGAATCTCGCTTGAAATTGCATTGTCCTTGTTTCTGGATTTTGCCAGCACATGACGGTTCCCACTACCTAGTTATTTTGTGAAGCATTTCAATGTTCACAAGAGGTGGTGCTCTGTCTTCTGTGCAGAAATATATTTGCCACTTGCAAGCAAAACAAACTGGAGTCAACCTGTGGACACTTGAACCCTCGAATCAAACGTTACCCATGAAAGAAAGAAGACCTTCACTGTGGATTTGTTTATCAGAGGAACACCAACTGAACAGTTACAGACTTTTGGACAGGAGAGCAAGACTCTCTCTAGTTTACAAAAACTAAACATCTATCTTCTCCTTGAACGCGTCTTCCTGAACTTTCCTGGATATTCACTGACTGTTACTCAAATGCAAGCAAATGCCACAAAGCGACTCCACAAACTCCGTGCTGGATCTCATTTTTCAACAGACGCCAAGCGGAGTTACGAGTAAACATACTACTCGCGTGCCTCATCAGTAGAATCCACCGTTACATCCATAGTTACGATCAAACAGTTTCATAAAAAGTCTCAAGATAGCTGATAAGAATGCACAAAGAGAAATGAATATTGCGGTGGGCAACCTCAGGCATTCAATCCATTACTCAAGCCATATACTTTCCGTGTTCACTGAATTTCTGTCACAAATCTCCTTTGCTGGCAGTCGGATAAGAAAACAAAATCATTATCATCTCATCA